GTAAAGACATTGCCAAATAGATGTTACCAGCTAAAAACAGTTTTCCTTCATTTTCCCCTCCCTACTTCTATTTATTCATATTGGTCATTTTCCAAATAATAACTATTATAAAATAAAATCAGTAAATAAACTGGCAATTTTATGTCTCTAACTCCATACGCTGTTTCCATTGCTTTATATTAATTATTTTTACTTCCTTAACTAATCCATTAAAGACACTTGTTTTCCAACATAATTCTATTTGTTTTCAAAAGTACTCCTTTAGTTAATTTTGTTATATGTTATTTTGGAACACTCTTTTACAGATCACTCAATTAAAAATTTATCTCTACTCACCTCAACTACTATATAATATACACAATATTACCAATATAGTTTTCATTCTATCAGTCTATATCAAAAATCAAAATTACCTTCTTCATCAGCAGGAGGGGCCATGATTCTATATACTCATTATTTGTTTTATTTACTTAAACTCAGTATGGGGTCACATTCATATCAGGTTCCTCTAGAGCTGGTCACTTACCTAGCATATTTATAAGCCTATCTCCCCATCTATACAGAAAATGGCCCTGATTATGTCATAAGAGTTTCCGAATGTTACATGAAAGAGCAGATACATAGTGTTTTACTTTGTTCAATATATGTTTGGTCAGAAAGCATTCAATACCATTTTTGCTGTCAACATCATTAGCAATTTTCCGATTTTCAATTTAAAAATAAAATACCAATTTTGGAACAAGAGAGCAGAAAGTCTGGTAGAAGTTTAGTTTAAAAAAATCAACAGTATCTTTTAGGAAACTATATTCAGTCAACACATAATCCCAGGCAGAAAGAAGTAGCAAGAGTCTTTAAAAATTATTCATTAGCATAGGTCATTCTTATGGGCTGGGCAAAAAGGAAGGCAGTTTGCGATGGGCGTGGTGGCTCGTGCCTGTAATTCCAGTACTTTGGGATTACAAAGCTTGAGCTCAGGAGTTCAAGACCTGCCTGGGTCATGTGGCAAAACCCCGTCTCTACAAAAAGCACAAAAATTACTTGGGAGTTGTCGCACGTGCCTAAAGTCCCGGCTATTCTGGGGGTTGAGGTGGGAGGATCACTTGAGCCCAGGAGATCAAGGCTGAAGGGAACCAAACCACTGCACTCTAGCCTGGGTGACAAAGTAAGACATGTATCCCAAAAAAAAAAAAAAAAAAAGCCAGTTTCATATGAAAACAAAGAAACATTTATTCTTAAGAATCCACAACACTCGAGTGTACAAAAAACTGGCAACTAAGGACTTTTCCTCTTAATATTTGCAGCACATCAATATTATGGCTACAATTCTGATCTCAAACATATCATGTATCTTAACTTTTAACACTGATAAAGGAAGACAGTAATAATTATAAAAATCTAGATAAGAGTGTTAGAAACAGAAAAACAATATAGTTGAACTAATACTAGGAAGATGAGGATGAAAAACAAAAGTTCTGTGCAGTATCAGGAGAGAACCCAGGGTAGCTTACTGGCTTATAAAGTAACCAGGGCATAAAAAATATCATGGTATGAAATTTATTGCTTAAATATCTTTCCCCCATTTTTATTTTATTTTAAATAAATGGATTCACTTATATTCTCTTTTAGAATTAGTAACTACAAAGTGTCTTGGAAATAGGAGGAGGATTTTCTTCAAGAATCTACATCAAAGCAATAGTCAAAGCTTCATTATCCATGCAAGTAGATGTGAGAAGAACATGATCACAAATGTTCCTACTGGCCTGTGTTAATTTGACATTTACACTGAATGTTAATATCTGATTTTCATGGTTCAAATAATAACAAAGTATTTTTGTAGCACTTTAGTGCTCAAGTAATGTTAGAATGTTGTAATTTTTTAAAAATTCTCTGCTTATGTTCTGTCATATAAAATACACTATACTGAAAATAAACTGCATCACTTCTCAGATTAAAGGAACATACCCCCAAAATCCTTTCTCTCCCAATGAAACAAACCATACCTTAACTGGGGAAGTTAATTATATGCCTGGGTTTCACAAACCAACTGCTGTTGCCAGCTGCATTCTAAATAAGAGTAAATAGAGACAGTTTGAGCTGTCAACAAAAGACATAATTAAGTAGGAAAAATGCTGTCAATAAAACATAGCTACATTTAAAACTTTAGAAAACAAATAGGGCCAACCAGATTTGGACTGTATTGTATAGTCAATACATTCTTAACCACTAAGTAATTGGGTCAAGTAAAAGTAATCTGGAAAGGCTAAGGTCTTCAAACATATACATGGCAAAATAAGATTTTGTTCAAATAGAGGTTAAAAGAGATTGTACAGCCTTTCTCAACTAGGGTTCCACAAGAAAATAAAGCCCTACATACAATTATTTGAGGGCTATTTCCCAATTCTGCTGAATTCTAGAAGCATTAGAGAAATGATTCATTACATACAATGAATGTGTTAGGTCTTAATTATCTACCAGAACTGGTTGAGAGGGGATTGTGGAACATCTTATGAACTACAAAAACTGACTGCATATTTTTCAGTTTGAAACATGTCATGGATACAAAAGGCATTCCATCCCTCACTCTTCTAACCATAATGTTAATGTGTATGTTCTTCAAACTGCTTTCACATTTACTGTGTCATTATCCATCTAAACAGCTCCGGTTATGTGGACACAGTTTGCAGAAAGCAGATTTTTTACTGTTTAAAAAAAGGTTTTTTACTCTAGTTTTTAAGATAAAATTAATTTTTACTCTGCTGAATACCAAAAGATCCTAACTATGTGGGACATTTAAATTATTAGTAGTATATTTGGCATAAACTAAATTATACAATAGGTCTGCTAGAAAGCACTATCTCTTAGTTACGGTAGAAAACAGTAAATTCTGCAAACTTCTAACGATTAAGGGAAAAAAAAACCACGTCCGTAGCACCAAACTGATTTTTTAATGTTTAACTAACTTTTACATTTCTAATTGGAACATATTATGAATCATTTCTCTATGTCCACATTTTTCCTCAGATACTTAATATCAAGAAACAAATTGTACAAATTCTATATAATCTATAGACTTTTGTAGTACATCTATCTTGGCATACCAGGAAAGAAGAGAGGCCCATTAAAAAGAGAGACTCAGGGGCCGGGCGTGGTGGCTCACGTCTGTAATCTCAGCACTTTGGGAGGCCGAGACGGGCAGATCACGAGGTCAGAAGATCGAGACCACCCTGGCTAACACGGTGAAACCCCATCTCTACTAAAAATACAAAAATTAGCCAGGCGCGGTGGCGGGTGCCTGTAGTCCCAGCTACAAGGGAGGCTGAGGCAGGAGAATGGCATGAACCCGGGAGGCAGAGCTTGCAGTGAGTGGAGATTGCGCCACTGTACTCCAGCCTAGCGACAGAGCGAGACTCCGTCTCAAAAAAAAAAAAAAAAAAAAAAAAGATACACTCAGGAAAAAAGGAGGGATGGCACGTGATTTCTAGCAAGTTTCACACTCAGTGAAAGGAAATGGAGAAAAGGAAAAAACAAATTAATCCAGTATTCACTGAGCACCACTTAGGTGTTCTAACATTCTTAGAAGATTTGGGGAAAGATTAAACAAAATATTGTCTTCACCTTGTATACTCTGAGGTCTACGGGGGAAGCAAAGAAACAGATGGAAACATCACCAATCCATACAAGGAAGGATATATAAGTAAATATTCAATTATGTGGTGCAGACTGTAAGCGGTGTAGGAACTGAGAGTAAAGCAAGACTAATGAGAACTGGGGTTGTAAAATATATTATGAAGGAAGGCAGATCTCAGCTTACCCTGGCAGGATGAGCAGAAATAACAGAGAGGATAACCATGAGCAAGAACATAAGGGCAGGTTTCTTTCTTTTTTCAGTACTATTTGTAACAACTTGAAAATAAAAGCATTTTGATTAAACGATTTCAAACGTGAACATGGGATTAATATTTGAAATACTCAGTGAATTAATGCCTTACCAAAAATATATATACAAAAAGTTCTAGCAAAAATTTTGAGTCCCATATCTACCAATTCCCCTACCATTGATAACAATATATAATTTCACACTTCTGCATACAAACCTGTTTATCCTATATTATGCAATATGAGTATACTGGCATTTCAAACAAATATAGGAAGAAATGGGGTGGGATGAGGAATAACACCACAATGTTTAAGACAAATATTCCACTTCGCTGGTTAAAGTAGGGATTTGAGAGGGAAGGACAAAAAGATACTGAAAGAGGCAGGGGACAGCCAAATGCCTAGGCAGATAGGGAAAGACTCTCAGTTAAGAAAGAACTTAAGGCTGACTTAATTTTTCATCTCTGTACAAATTAGAAAAGGTTGTCTCACATATTTCACCCTTAAGAAGAGAAAAAATGTCCAACTATTTGAGAACTCCAAAAACAGATCTGAGTATCTGAGGCAAATAATATGCTAGAAAGCATTCCAGTAAGGGCTCCTATAAGAATATTCAAATGATCACTCTTTGAAAAAGGCAACACAGCAGGACATTGCTTTAGATACAGTGAGATAACCAGAAGAATTATAATTTCCATTGTTCAGATGAGGATCCAAAATACAACTTATTTATTGAGGATCCAAAATCCAATTTATTTATTTATTTATTTATTTATTTATAATGTCTCACTTTGTCGCCCAGATTGGAGCGCAGTGACAAGATCTTGGCTCACTGCAACCTCTGCCTCCTGGATTCAAGTGATTCTTGTGCCTCAGCCACCTGAGTAGCAGGGATTACAGGTGAGTGCCACCACGCCCGGTTAATTTTTGTAATTTTAATAGAGACACGGTTTCACCACATTGGCCAGGCTGGTCTCAAACTCCTGGCCCTCAGGACTCCTGGCCTCAAGTTACTGGCCCGCCTTGGTCTCCCAAAGTGCTAGGATTACAGGTGTGAGCCACCGCGCCAAGCTCATACAACGTATTTAAACGACCTGTTTTTTTTTTTTTTTTTTTTTTTTTTTTTTTTTAAGCTTCCACGTCAGTGTTTTACTGAGACCAGCATTGGGGCATATGAGGCACAAGGAATCCAGCTCTGTTCCCTAGAAGCCATCCACAAGGTTTTCCTTGTAGACGTCATCACTCTAGACAATCTGGGTCCTCCTGTCCCGGTGGCAACCCTTAGGGCTGTTCTGGACAGCAAGGGAGCCCCAGACAGACTTGTCAGTAGCGGCATCCAGCATGGGCTGTTTCCCGGCTATGTTGGCTTTGAGCTGTACAGACTCCACCAGGGTCCCGTTGAGCTCAGCAACCGCCTGATCTGCTGACTCCATCTTTTCATAGGTGACGAAGGCACAGTTTCTGGGTGAGTCCATGGAGAGGTCAATGATGTTTCCAAAAGGAGAGAAGGCCCCACAGAGAAGGGCAGGCATCAAGTCTTCTCCATATACATAGAGTATTCCCTTTCCTAGGGGCTCGCGGTTCAAGGAATGAGTCTGACCTGCGGAAAGGACCCTCTCGGTCTCGGTCTCAATGCCGCTCCGGATCCCAATGCCTGTCCGGTTCCCGGTCTCGATCTCGATCCTGATCCCGATCCCTGTCCCGTTCCCGGTCTCGATCTCGATCCCGATCCCGATCCCGATCCCTGTCCTGCCCTCGGTCTCTATCTCGATCTCGGTCTCTGTCCCGGTTCCTCTCATGGTTGCGGCTTCGGGAGGGGAGGCTGAGGAGTGGCCACCACTGCGTTCTTCAGAGCCCCAGTCAAAGCTTCGAGGGGACCATCACCAGCCCCTGGGCCCTCTGCCTCTTCTCCATCTGGCCCTAGTTCTCAAAGTCGATCACTAGAAGACACAAGGCTTTCATACAGAGATTTCCTCTAGGGACGTCTGGATGACTCTCACAGGTCATCATCAGCAGATACGCTCCTCTGGAACGGCTGGAAAGTGGGGACTGGTCCCTTCTCGGGGTCCTTTAACTTCCCCTCAAGGGTTCGAGAACGCTTGAAGCCTGAGTTCTTGGTCTCAGCCTTGATGGCACTGATGGCTCCTGACTTCACCAGCTGCTTTGCCTGCTCCGTTGCTGTGGCTGTGTCCACGACAGGCTGCTCTGATAGTGAGCGTTTGACACCGCCTTGGCTGGTTGTGCTGCTGCTACTTTGCTTCTTCAGAGTCAGCAGTGCCTTTTTCTTTTTCTTGAGTTTGTTGAATTTCTTCTGCAGAGCCTCCTCTTCCTCGCTCAGTCCGGAAGCCACCAACATGGTGGCTCCTGAGGGGGCGGCCACTGCAGGCCCCACGGTCTCCGGCCGTGCCCGCGCTGGCCGCTGATAGCGGGCTCACAACGATGACCTAAACGACCTGTTTTTGTTCACAGTGCTAGTAATTAGAAGGAATGCAAATCGAATTCTGATATTTTATATTTTGGTTTCTATTATCACTTGATTTTTTCAGAAGAATAAATAATATTATAAAGAATACTCATTATAATAACTTCCTTCTTTCTCATTATAAATCTACTTGGCTCACTTAGGCAAATACTTTTTTTTAATTGATCACCAACCAAATAGCTATAACACTTCAAAAAAAAGGACTTAAGAGCTGTCTAAGCCAACTTGCTAATGTTCTAGTTGGGGAAATGATCTAAGTGACTACCCAAAGATACACAGCAATTCAGTGACAGAGAAAGTTCAAAACAAATAAATTAAACTGTGATGATCCTAGTTCTTCAAACACTACTTCTAAGTATTCTTAGATTTTTTTTTCCTGAGCTTGCTCGCTAATTACTCTGTGTTTTAAGCATACTTCAGTTTCTCCAGCTTATTTCCCAATCACATAGGGATCCAATTCTATTCATATGTTGCATTTCTAAATGTACAATGCTACTTTCAGTCTGGTCCTAGAATTAAAATAATTCAATAGTCTCTAAACTAATCTTTTTATCAGAGTTACAGATCATTCATTAAAGGGCAGGAAGAAGATACATTATTTTCATATTTGGTTTTCATTTCATTGTTTGCTAGGCTAACATATTCGTTTAAAAATATATTCAAGGTATTTTTAAATGTTTTGGGGGAAGTATCTTCTTTCAGAATGTATACACATGTTTTAAAACAAATGCCATCTTTTGACATGAACTAATTAAACTAGAATCCAGTACAACCAAAATACTACCGTAGTATATAATTTGTGTCTTTTTAGAAAAGAAATATTCCTAGTGTGTTCAAGAAAAGACTATAAATCACTACACTGTGTTTATTTCATATTTCCCATGATACCATTTACTCTAGCTTTTAGCCTTTTATGTGACATTGAGCCATTTTGCAGTTATAAAACAGTTGAAAAGAATGACCTGTTAATTTGACAGGGACGCATTATAATATCTCTCTCTGGCACTATAATATTTTAATTTCTTTTCTGAAGACAAACCAGTTGGAAAGTGACCATCTGCTAGTATGTTAGTATTATTTAGGCAAAGTAATGAACAAATGTCCTCCTTTGCAGTAAGAAGAAGATGACTAAATGAAAGAAATCCAGGGTGAACAACTGAAACAGACTGATTCAATGCCACGTAAAATGCCTTTTTCATTATTTACTTACAACTCAAACAACAGCATTTTAAAACATGCATTGATAGTATAAATAAATCTTCTGAAATCTACTTTTTACACTCACCCAAGAAATATATTACAAAGCAAACAATTAAAAATAAAACTTTCTATCAATTCTTCTCATATAATTTCTTCAACATCTATTTAAACATAGATAGGCTGTCCCCATCATAAATACCTTTCAACCATGTGATTTCAAAAATGTAAACACAGTAACTTAAATTTCTCAGGTTGCTATTTTTTTCATGTATTTTGAAACATTTTCCAAAAATATATGCCATCCACATTCAATGAGTTAAGAGATATTTATTTACCAATAAATTATTACAGGAATGTCAAATTAATTAATAAATAGATATCTGATCTTAATTATAGGTAATTTCTCTGTATGTATAAATGTGGATCCTACAGTAAGTACATAAGCTGTGTACCTAATGAGAAACTCCTTCATGTTAGATACGTTAAGGGAAAAGAGCAAAGCATGTCACTGAAATACTCTTCTTGTGCCTGAGGGAAGTGCTTTGAACATGAAAGATTTGCATACTTGGAAAGCTATGGCTTCCCTGAATCTCTGGAAAGCTTACCAGATGAGAGTAAACTTACGAAACTGTAGTCCAATTTTTAGGAGCAGAAACTATAAATGCTTATTCATTACAACTGCATAGTATTCTAGTATAGCAAACAAATGGAAAATTATGGATTTTTATAATAAACATTCGTAGCCAGTTTTTAAAAAATCTGTAAACATGAATTTACTGAGATTTTTCTTTCAAATAAGATTAAACTGGCTATGTCAACCCTGACTTATGATTAACACCTGGTAAACATTTTAAACGGATTTAATTGCTATTAAGCAGATAAGTCACACTCAATAACTTCTAAAGGTAAGGTATCCATATAACTACCTATAAATGGCAGTAGCTAGGTTTCTTTTAAGGTCTATCTCTAACTTGCCTTCCCCAAAATACCAAGAGCTTTTATTTTTATTTTTTAACAAAGCAAGGTTTTTAAAGCAAACAACCACCAAAAACAAACAAACAAACAAACAAACAAACAAAAAAGCCATGTTTTGTATGTATTGTTCCTAGGTTTAATTTCAGTAAAATGTGGCTCTAAAAATAAATGTGATACACGCTACATAATTAAATATTCCTGGTTCATTCAGGTCAAACTAGGAATGTGTGTTGTTCTTTGAGTATCTCCACAACCCCAAGTACACACACATTAAAATACTGAAACAATTTACTGGCTCCTTCCATGAGTTAACACTGATGTAGCATCTTACTATACGTATCAGGCAAGATTCTCAGTACTTTATGAATAATATTATATTCCTTTAATCCTCCTAATAGTAATATTTTAATCCTCATTTTAAAGATATATAAAACAAAGCAAGAGAGGTTAAGTGGCCCAAGGTTATGAATAGAAGAACTGTGATTCAGACTTATTCAGACTAGCTCTAGATTATGCTCACAGCACTATGTTATGCCACCTTAGTCATGTCAATCGCAGCAATAAATTTTAATGCACAGAGGTGAAGGCAAATATTCTTAAGTGAGAAAGTCAATCCTGAGAAATATATACTACTTTATGCCACCTTGACGTGAGAATATCTATTAAAACAAAATGTTGTTAATTCATGGACACTTCAATACAAAACTATTAAAAAGGATGGCCAGGGAGACAGGAATAGGAGTTAATATTGTAGAATGAGGGGTTGGGCAGGAGTGGTTAAGATGAGCACTCAGAGAATCCTGGCTCAGGGAAGGAATCTAATATACTTTGAATTCCACTACATTAGAAAACCGAGGTTGTTGATAAACCTCAGCCACAGTCCACAGCTTGGAAACTATGGCTAAAAGTTTTTGAAGCTGAACTTCCACAAGTAGATTTAGCTGTGTAAAAGCTAAAGGTAGGGAATAACAATAAATGTCAAGAAATCTTAATAATTTTTCTCTAGTTTGAGGATTTGAGTTACCTGGATTCTGTCACTAAATTACTACCTTACCCTGAACAAAAACATCAAGTCTTGAACTACTCTGTATCTGATCCTTCGAGTCAAAAATTGGGGTGTTGGATTATTAGCTTCAGAAAGCCCTAACTCCTACAAGTCTTTAACTTAGTCACTCTAGTTAAACAAGTACTTATTGATAGCCAGGTAACTCCACTTATTAATACATGAAAAGCTCTGTTAAGTACAAATCAGGGAGTTCTCTAGTGGTTTGATAGGATTTAATAGAATCAGAGGAAACAGTAATTTTATAGCACATAGAATGAGTGTAAAAGGTCACATATTGTCTAGTATTATTAAGAGGTTTATAGGAAATTAAAATACTACAGATTACAATGTAAAGATATATCATAAAAACAAATATTGGGATTCTTAAGTATTATTTCATGAGAGTATATATAAAATTATGATAAAAATAAATGATAAAAGGTATTTAACTTACAAGTATCCTCTTCAAAAAATATTTCAGAAATACATTCAAAGCATATAATAAAACCAATCTTAATTCCACTTTCGACCAGGCATCAAAAACTCTACATTTTTAATGTATTTATTTCATATAAAGTCCTGATAACTCTTTAAAAAATATTCTAAAAATTAGCTCAAGTATGGTAACTTTGGTAAAATGTCCAACTTTTTACAATACCTTAACCATTTATTGAAAAACCAAAACATGATAATTCTCAAGGTCTAGACTCTTAGAAGTAGACTTGTTTTACAAGCACTTTTTATACAGTATTCTCCTTATGCACTTTAAAAAGCTGAACTACTATAGCAAATGCATAATTGATTTATAAGGGAAAAAGTTCAAGTGAAGGACATACTATTAACTGTGCATTAGAGAGACGGGGTGGAGGAAAATGTACCTCTCTGGAACATTTTGAAAGCAATGATTACAAAAATGCAAATGCCAGATACAGGTGATGCTTTCCACTTCACAGCAGCACCTAAGTCACACACAAACCCTAAGCCCCCTCCAAAAACAATAACAAAAGGACAGACTACATATCAAGCTACAAATAAAAGGCAAGTGTTTTTCCATTATGGACATGTAAGAAGAGTGCTACACTTAATTAGTATTTTAAAGAGTAAGATTTAACTGTTGTTCCAAATTTATCCAAGTACATCAAGAATCTGGTCACAACATGGTACAATATAAATAGATTCAAACATATCACAGTTAAAAATCCTACATAACAATGAACAATGTTATTAACAATCTAATGGAATATAACATACTCATAATGTTTCTGTCACTGAAAAGCATTAGAAAGCTGTTTTAATCAAATTTTGCTTCCTAAATTCTGAAATTCTGTATTTTGTTAAATGACAGAAATAGATCTTTATTTTCCTATACATTTTTCATCCCAAACCCATACGAATAACTACTCCAGCCACTCAGTTTTCAACCCAACACTATAAGACAAGCATTATTAGGGAAGCGGGCTGGCAGTTGTTCACTCTGTCATATCCTTTCAATGCAACTCTGATTTGCCTTTGTTCTGACGGCCGCAAACAACTACTTAAAAATGACCCAGCATCACTGGGCTGACTCCCATTATTCCACACTTTTGTTTGACAAGGTCACTTGCAGCAGAGATTTTGGGGAGAAAGAGTGTGCAGCCTATAGAAATAAGAGTTTAAGACACAGGCAACCCAGCCATTTTTCCTCTGGCAGCACAAGCAAATTAAAACTTAAAAAAGAAGGTCAGCTACAGTAGCTCACACCGGT